ATGAGAAAAACATGCAGATGAATAACAAGGTGAAGATCTAATTACATGGAATACACCAAGTGCAAGAAACTTGACTTAAAGCTTACTTATTTTAGTCACGTTAAGCAAAAACCAGTACAAGAGAGAATGAAACAAGGGAATGGATAAAGCGTGTTCCAGACAAAAGCAGGATGAAGAAAGCTACTTGATGCCAAAGAAAAATAGATAAGTGGGTACAGATCAGTAAGAAATTCCCCTAAAATATCCAGGAAAAAGCTCATGAGAAAGAGCTACTAAAAGTAAATAAATCTGACAAGAATATAGGGCAGTCTGGGAAACACTGTTCTGGGCACAGCAGTATGAATCTAGAGAAGCTTCAGAACTCTACCAACACCTACAAGGAGGCAGAAATGTAGATCACGCCAAAATAAGATGTGATTATGAGGTAAATTTGGGGAATACCATTAAGACAGTAAAGGAAATCTGTGTCAAAGCTTTCATGATAACCAAATATGAACCATATTTAAAAGCCAGGAATATCACACAAGAAATTAAAAATGGGAAAAGGTTTCTTTTCTTTCTGCAGTACTGGAGCATCCATTCCACAATCAGAAAGATATCTCAAAGACACTGATCTTTGATGTTATGAGTTATTACACCTCAATAACTAATAACTTGCATAACCCTTAGTCAACTTAACATGCTGCTTTCCACATCTTCTTCATAGCTGGAGGAGCTGTTATCAGAATTTGGTTTAAAAAGATAAACTTTACATCCGATTTATACTTAACCTGCCAGTATCACCTTTTCTTTTACTTAAAGCCACAAGCCAGGAGCTGATCAGAACCTGTCCAGGGTCCAAGAGGGCAAGGCAACATTAACACAAGGCGACTTTAGCAGTTGAGCAGAAAACACTGCAATGTAATTCCAGCAGTGGGATTTCGTTCAGGTGCAGCTCTGGACTCAAACACACTACATTTTACTGGTTCACCACAGCAAACTTCAGGGTGTTCAGCAGATATCAAGCAATTAGATGCAAGATGATCACTACAGATGACAATCATATTTTTATCCTCTAACTCTCAAAGCAGCAACTTAGCCAGCTAGCTGGAACAGATGACCAGATCAGAAATGTAAACTATTAAAAATAGGTATTACTTTAACAGAAATAGCTGCTGAATGATGGTGTGTACAGCAAGAAAAGCACTCACTTTCCATTTCAACTAAACAGAATACTTAACTAATACACTGAAAATATCAGTTTTCACTATTAACATAAGCAATCCACCAGTAACTTCACTTTATGCCTTCTGTCTGAAAACAAATTCAGTCATCCATGAGCTATCCCTCAGCCATAATGGTGGGCTTTACATGGGAGTGACAGGCAAACACTGGGATGGGCAGGGTAACTTCTAAAGCAACACCACATGTAGAGGATGCAACTGCTCAGAAGTTCACTGTGCAGTGTGCATAAAAGAGACACACAGCAACCTCTATACAGTGCAGTATTTGCACATCAGAGTAAGTGCTGAAGAAAAATTGCTATGCTTCGCTCTCATATTTAAAAGAAAGTTTTTCAGAAAGCTTAGGAAAGTGTGCGACAAGTTACTGCAAAGTAAGTGACAATGTGGATCCACAGGACGTTAACTCCAGTAATTGCCCACATGTACACACTTATCTTGCAATAAATGAGACAAGTTGCTTTTTAAAAGCAGCATAGCAAACCACCTTGCACACTGTTACCAAGTCATTTTCAGCATGATATACACGCACGCCCAACCTTACCCAGCAAGTGAGGTAAGCAGCTGTATGCTGTGTCCTGTTCCTGTGAACAGAGCAGGCCTGAACAGAACTCTTAAGAGGCCTAGCTGAAGTGCAGTGCTGTGTGCACATGCATACATGCCTAAGGAGAACCTTCGGTTCTGTATCAGAAAGTCTGACCACCGAGACAAGGATTCAGAAGCACTAATCTCACATGAACACTGAAGGTAAAATAAGGCAGTTTTATCAGTTTGTTATTACAAGGCCGGAGACAATTTCATAATGGGGTATGTGAATACAAGGACTGAAAAGTGTCCACATTACACAAAGTTGAAAAAAAGACAAGAGATAACCAGCAGCCTTCACCAGCTATCTCTCACAGCCAGGTCCTCCTGAAATCAACAGCTAAGACAGATCTATACTTCTCCATGCAGACAAACCAACAGACAAATTAACCTTTTAAGCATAAGCTGTGATTTAAATTTAGTTTGTTTCCATCTGAGGTTTCCCCAGTTGGTAATTGGTCATTGATCTATACTGGTGTAATCCCGCAGTTTAAACGGGCTTTCAGGTTTAACAGCAGTGATCCAAATCCATTTGAACCTTGAAGAGTTCACACGAGGTTTAACTGAGTACATTCAGTCGGTTTCAACTACTTGAATGTCCTTGCATAAGCAAGGCCTTATGATCAGGATCTTCATGAAGCGGTTCAAGAGAAATCTACTTACATCATCCCTGCTATTTTTTCACAGCACCATTCCTGTTTGATTGATCCACTGAACGTTTTCTACTTCATTTAGAGCAATAGCTTCCATTTATCAAATGCGTAAAGACTTCCCACCCTTGTAAGAAAATATGTTTTAAATCTGTTCAGTGTCTCAACAGTTGAATTAAGTGTCATTCAGAAATTGCAGGAGTTCAATTTCCATTTTTATAAAATAATCTAGAAAAAGAAAATGTCACAAGCCAACTTTTCATCTAGCCAAACCACACTTATCATTAAGTGCATATTAAATCATAGCATGAAAGGACATATTGATATTTTTTGATGAGTGCTACAAGTAAATTTTTAAAACGACTCTTCTCCAGTTGTATGTTTTTATCTCTCAGTCACGGAGAATGAAATTTGATATGGTAGTCACTATAATAGGAAAGGAACAAAAACTTACACCCTGTTGTCTTTTGAGGACTCGGATTTGCATGGGAACATGTCTGAAGTCAGAACAACAGGCAGCACAATGTGCCAAACACCTGCCACCAGCAAGAGCAGTGCTGAGTGAGTTGTGCCGCCTGCACACGTGTGTCCAGAAGTGCATAAACAAAAACACACAGCATTTATGTTGTCACTGTAAGCTGTGACATTAACTTTCACTGAAGAGGTTCATCAACTTGTCCGCAATTTAAGATTAACATAAAACTAATAGCGCCTATTGCCACTAGAAAATATCACACTCAAAACATTTGCCATATTACTGCGAATTTATTGTGTGAATTCACAATGTTCTATTTCCCCAATGTGCTCTCAACCAGTAGATTACAGGGCATAAGCTGGGAAATAAGAGCAGCTACTCTGCACAGACTCATCCTCTGGAAGATGATGCCTTGTTTTAATTTAGTAAGCTTGTGTTGGATCAGAATAAACTTATGTTCTCATACTTCTCTGTGGCTCAGGCTGGATGTCAAGCAAATGACTCCTGTGAGGCAATACACACATTGTATCCTCCCTGAGCAACTGAAATGATTTCATGCGTGGGCAATGTTTAAGTGTTTTTAATGGTGTCAGTTACTCAAATACTTTTTATTATTATTATTATTTTTATTATTATTTTTTACAATCTACTTGTCTGAGCATTAGTCCTTTAAAAATACTTCCATTAGTCCTAGAAAAATACTTCTGCAGCTGAGCTTGAAAAGCAACTCTGACTCAAATCAAAGTGTTTCTGTTACACTTATCCTCTCAGAACACATTTTTCTTGTGTTTCTGCTAATGCTATGCTCCTCCCCACTGCTTCTCCTGTAACTCCTACACTGCTCTTCTCAACTGGTGTCACGGGAAACTTCAGGCAGCTGCCGAACAGCATGACGCTAAGAGAGGTTTGAAACCTCCCTGGCAGCTAGCAAAAGCTCATCTAAGTGCAATAAGAACAAGATAACAACCTCCAGCTGATGTTTCTGCCGGAGCAGCAGGCAAACCGTCCATTTAAACAGAGAGGGACTGCCTATAGTAAAATGTGGTCCTGCATCGTAGCATGATAGAATTGCAGAGGTTGCAAGGGACTCCGGGGATCACCCAGCCCAACTCTCAGCTAACACAGGCTCCCTACAGCAGATTGCACGGGACAGCCAGCAACAAGTGAAAACGCACAGCGCCGCATTTCTGAGACAGAGCGCGTTACATTTACTGCCTTTACAGCTGAAAGAAATTCAGGTCAGGCGCACATTTAAAGAAGCACAGCAGCAGCTGTGGGCCGGTTCTGCGCTGCCTCACAGAACGCCTCCGCACCGCCTCAGTACAGCACGCTGCATCCGCAGCACAGCCGGAGCCGGTTCCTGATGTCGAGCCGTCACCGCGGCCGAACAAAAGCATGGGGCTGCGGGCCTCGGCGGGGCAAGTGCCACGCGCGAAACCCCCGCAGCCCGAGCCTTAGGGCGAGGCCTCCCCGCGGTACCCCCAGCTGAGGGCCCCGGGCCGAGGCCGGGCCTCTGGCTGCTCCCCGCCTCCCTCTCGTCCTCACCAGCTGGCCTCGTCCTCCTCGCAGCACGCCAGGCGCTCCAGCTCGTCGGGCCGGAGAGGCGCCGCGTCGTCCGGCGGGCCGTCGCTCTCGCCGCCGCCGGGTTCCTCGGGGGGTGGCCGCCGCGCCGCGGCCCTGGGGCTGAGGCAGCGGCCGTCGGACGGAGAGGCGGCGGCGGGGGGCGAAGGGGAGGCCCCGCCGCCGAGGAGGCGCTTGGGGCTGGCGGGGGCGGCGGGCAGAGCGCCGTGGCGACTGCGAAGCTGCTCGTTCTGCTTCTCCAGCTTCTTCACCAGCTCCTGCAGCTTCCGCACCTCCGCGTCCGCGTTCACGCTCGAGCCGACGTCCTCCATGGCGCCTGCCGGCCGCGGAGCGGTCTGCGCGATGAAAGCCGGCCGCGCCGCCCCGTCTACATGGCCGGGCGGCCCGCGGCACGAGAGGGTGGCGGCGAGGCGGGGCGGGGCGGGTGCTGCCGCCTCCTCAGCGGCGCCGGCGGGCGGCGGAGGGCTCGCGTCCGGCCGCCATCTTGCTGCCTCCTCAGCCCGCCCGAGCCACGACGTCACTCGCGTAACCTGGAAGTGCCCGCGTCGGAGCCGGGCGGGTGTTGGCGCGCTGCGCCCCGTGCTGCCTTACCGCCCTCTGGTGCCCTGTGGAGGCTGGGACCTGCGGGCGGCCGTCGTGCTGAGGGAGGGAAGAAGGGAGCGGGGGAGCTGTTGCTGGGGTGGTTATTAGACTGCGGAGGAGCTTTGGCCTGGGAACAGGGACCTTTACTCATCGGTGCCGCATTGATAGCAGCCCTTGGAGGATTGCTCTGTGCGTTGGTTTGTAAATCCAACTCCTCTGCACCGTTTGGTACCAAGTGCCTTAATGAAATCCAGGTAAGTTTTGCGAGCACAGCTGGCTTTGTTAGTAGGGCTTGCAGGCCTCTGTAAGGCAAGAAAAATGATAAGGTTAGTGATAATAAGGACATTTGGTGTCGTGATGACACTGCTGGCAATTCAGTGGTTGGTGAGTGTAAAAGTGGTCTTAACTTCAATAGAGACATTCATTCTAACTGAGAGCATTAATACAGCTTCCTTCTTTTCTTACCCTCAGTCCAGCTGTTGGTGGCAGGACAAAGAGTCACGCTGTTATAATAGTTTGGTCTTTTCTGTCCTGCAGACAATGTGCTGGAAGAGCTGGGCAGGCAGCATTAGGAAGGATTGGGGTCATTGAGCCTTGGGCTCCTTGGGACTGCCCAGTAGAACTGTTAATCCTGCTGCTTTTGGGCCCTCTTCTCTGATACAATGGCACAGCTATGGGTGTGAGAGCTGCTGGTATCCTGCATCTCCCCTCCACCCGTCCTCTCTGCAGTCTCTACCCCCAGGGTTCCTGCCCCACCTTATCATCCCCTGCTGACATTGCTTTGCTTCCAGCAGCACCAGCAACTATTCCTCTCAGCAAGATGCACACTGCAAAAAGACGTGTGGGTAGTGGGGAGGCAAGTGAGGAGAGGAAATAAGGTGTTGCTGAATCATCTGCTATTTTTCCAAAGTGTAAAGGCAACTGAGATGAACAAAGGGAGTTGCTGGTTAATAGTCACCATAGTCAGTGGTTGAATAGCAAGGACTGTGATCCTGCTTTCTCATCATCTTGTGCAGAGGGTTTCCCTGGTCATGTTTTGGGAGGGGAAGTGAGGACCAGGAGCTGATAATGGGCCGCGAGCTTCTCATCAGATTCCAAGCTTGCTCTGGGCAGATGTGACAGGCCACACCTAAGCTGAAGCCTCTGGCTGACTATACAGAATAGTTACAATTGGTAGTAATGCCACAAAAAATGAAATCTTTCCACTCTGTCGCAAGAGCAAGTGAAATTTGTCTGCCTGTGAAATCAGATGTTGTAGATCTTTTAAGTTTTTTTTCTGAGCAGGTTGAGTCTGTGCTGTCTATTTCACATGCGTGGAGAGGAAAGGGAAAATCAGTGTTTCTGCAGAGTCTCATGGACTCTGAAAGCCCCTCTGTGCACAGCCAGTACAGTCAGCATTATGTGCTATTGGAACAGGCAATAGCAAAGCTGAAGAGCAATAGATCTCTACCTGTGTGTGTAACGTAGGTCTAATTCAGGATACGTGTGAGCAGAAGAAATGGGGAGCAATCCCTCCAAAGCACAAGAAGCCTGGGCAAGGCTTGTATGTCACTCAAGTAATGCAATTTGTCTCTCTCTGACAAGTGGTTCCTGAGAAAAAGACCTCCAGGAGCTTTGTTTTGGTGCCCTTTGAGCTTCCAGCATGGACAACTCTATTTTTTATTTTTATTTTATACAGTTGTAATTTGCTAATTTATTTGTAGTGAAAATGTTAAATTCTGACTTCCATACCTTTATTTTGATTGTCACCTGAAATAACAAAAGAATCCTCAAAGGGAGTAGATAAAGACGGACAGTTGCACAGTGGGAAGTTAACATTTATAGCAAATATTTAACTTCAAGCCTGGAAAACTGGATTGCTTTTTAAGCAGATTTGTTTAGTCTCCTGAGGAAGATTGTTGCCTGCCAAAGGAGGTGTTCAGCAGGCCCACACACACTCTTGCTAGGTGGTGTTTAGATAAACCTTTGAAATAAAAGGAATCATTTGTCATTACAGTATCTCATGGCATGCACAAACATTGCGTATGTGGTGGAATTAGTGTCTGTCTCTTTCAAAGCTAGTTTCAAAACCCTAACTGAAAGAACCAACATTGCAACTTTAATTATCTATAAAAGATATCTGAGTATATCTGGTCTCCTCAGTGGTGAGAAAATGTATTTAATCCATTGGCTTAGACTTAGGTTACCTGGAAGCCTAACTATGCTTTAGAAACTGTGAGCATTAGTGAATTTTTCGAAGACATCTGTGGGCAGAAGAGCCTTTACAAATCTTTTTGCAAGCAGTTGGTCTGCTGTATTTTACTACTCATACCTCTTAGTGTGAAAGAAGGACTACATCCATGCACTGTTCTTCCTATGCTGTTAAAAGCCTTTCTGGAGGGCAGCAAGGTTCCAGCTGAGTTCTGCCATTGAGATACACTTATCTGGGGTATTCTCAAGCAGAGTGTATCTGTTTGACGTGAATTAACAGGCTTCTTTTTTTATGCACAGAAAAGTTGTTTAAACCTGCTTTTATCCTCCAAATCTGGAATGACAACAACTCTAGGGTACTGCACAGGTTTTCTAATGAGGCTAGTGTTTATGGCATGCCATGTGGCTAGAAAATGTGGGACTAAATAATCTAATTTAACCTTTAATTTATATTACTAATTCAGAATGATGACTCTTCAAAGATTATCATCAGAGTTGAGCACTGTAATAAAAGTCCCATATCACCACAGGCACCCCAAATGAGATCTGTTCACCTGAGGTTCATCATTGCAGTATTGGAGTTCCTTCTACAGGCTTAGAATCTTTTCTCCTTGAAATTTTAGCATAATCTGCATATAATATTCATTAAAAAATGTAAATTCAGCTTCATCGTGGAGTTAGCTATTTGTATTTCATGCTTATTGATCACTTGGAAATAATAGCTTTTTAGAAATCCACTGAGCTCAGCTTGGTTATGGTGCTGGGATGGGAGCAAGGTGACTCAACACTGGGAAGGAACTTGCTGTTGTCAAGAAGATCCATGACTTATCTTCATTTACAGATGACAGTAATTTTAGGCATGTGGGCATCACTGAGTGAAGTCTTACATGTCTCCACCCATATGAAGCAATCTTCTGTAAAACCATTCCAAAAAGTTTCTGAGTGTATTGAGAACTCTCTCGACATTCCTCTGTTAGTGAGCCAGCTCCACAAGGAAGAATAGCTCACTGCACTCAAGGGACTCTGAAAGCAGTCTCCCCTCTGCAGTTTTTAGCAGGAAAAAGAGCAGAGTCTTCAGTATACACAGTTAGTGACAAGTGAACAATTTCCAGATATGTGACAAGTTTGAAATGCTGTATTTCTACGTGTGATGAAATGCTGTTATGTTTTGAATATCTTATCCATATTTTCATGGCAATTTGTGACAGAGAGAATAGAGCCATGCAAAACAAAATTTGTAGTTAAATTATGTTCATGCTTCATTGATTCATTTCTGCCTTGTATTTAGCTAGGCCGGACTCCTGGCTGGAGACAATATGCTGACACTGATAAAAGCAATTAAGGTTTATGGCCAAGAAAGGCATGATGTGATCAGTTCTAAATGTTGCTGGGAACGCTGCACACAAACAGGAAAATTTCCATTAAACCTGGGATACCGCCCTCGTGCTTGAGCTTGGAGGAACAGTGACGACACTTTATTTGCCGAAGGATTTATGGCATCGTTGTTGAAACCTGCACTGGAATTTAGTACCTCTTCTCCCTCCTGTCGGGCTGCCGTTTCACCTCGGCGCAGTTCGGAAGGCCGCCGCCGCCACCTAGTGACGGCCGTGTACGTAGTGGCAGCCCCTGCACCGGTGGCACAGGGACGTGGTGGGGGGGGCGCGGCGATGCACTGCTCTGGTCCCCGCACGCAGTGTGTGAGCGCCTGGAGAAGACCTCTGCTCCTTCCTCGCCTGTTTGGAGGATGCGCGAATGGAAATCTTCCACTCTAACACACAGTGGTAAAACAGTATCCAAAGCCTAGGATTGAACAAAGCACTTCTGAGATGGGACAAGAGGTAACGACCATACATTGCACCAGGGGAGGTTCATGTTGGATATTGGGAAGCATTTATTCTCAGAAGGAGTGATGAGGCGTTGGAACGGACTGCCCGTGGAGGTGGTGGAGTCACTGTCTCTAGAGGCATTCAGAGAACATGCAGGAGTGGCACTGAGATGTGGTTTATTGGGCATGGGTGAATGGCTGGACTGGATTTGTTTACTGGTCTTTTCCAAATGTAATGTGCAAAGAAAGCCTAAAAGGAATTGAAACCAAACTTAAAAAAAGTAAAAGTCTTTACAGGCAGAAGCATGTGGGAGAGGTGAAAATATAAAAAATCCAGCTTAGAGAACAAGAAATTTAATCAAATAATAAAAGTTGTCTTGGTCATATAAACAAAAATTAAGATAAACAGATGCCTTACATAATGTAAGTGCTGGCATTAAAATGAATCTAGGCACTGCCCAAACTATTTACCTCAGCTTTGGTAATGATAATGGCAGTGTACACAGAAGCAAAATCAAAGCAGTAAATGTGAGTGGGTGTGGAAACACGTTATCACAGGCAGGGTGAAAGCAAAGTGCAAAGAGCTCTGCTCTTTTGGAGGCTCAGAAACAGATAATAAAGCTCTTCATATGAGTTTTGATGCATTTACTAAAACAGATGTAATGCCATGTGAAAAAACATTAGATAATGAAGTAAGTTTCTTTTTCCTAAGGAAAAAAGGAATCCTTAAAAATATGTTATTTTATTGCATACAAGGATTAAATATTGTATGAAAGAAATAGAGATATGAAAGGATACAAAATGGGAGAAACAGTTACTGAAGATAGATTCTGCCAAATTAACTTGGGATTTTCTTTGATTAAATATTAGACTTTTTTTAAAGGAGTGGTGTGTAGTGACAGGACAAGGAACACTGGCCTAAAACTTGAACACAGGAAGTTCCATACTAACACATGGCAGCGCTTCTTTATGGTAAAGGTAATGGAGCATTGGAACAGGTTGCCCAGAGAGGTTGTGGGGTCTTTATGGAGATATTCAAGACCCATCTGGGTATCTACTTGTGCAACTTATTGTAGGATACCTGCTTTAACAGTGGGGGTCTTGAGGATCTCTTGAGATCCCTTCCCATCCCTGTGATTCTGTGATTCTGTCATTCTATGAACTGCAACAAAGCAAATCCATATGGATATCAGTAAAGTGATTGACATGGTGTGTCAGTGTGGTGATACTGGAAAAACAGAGGGAAGAAATCAGCTGAAAAGTTGTACTTACAAGAGAAGGCTCAGGCTGTAGACAGAAGAGTTTTGTGACTATGGAGTGCATAAGGATTGACTGTATTTATCTTCTGTGGAAAGTATTTTGTCCAATAAAGTAATAAATAAAAAGAGAAGTGATTAATGAAATATGCTGGTGACACAAAGAAGATGACTTTAAAGCACAGAAGGACTGAACTGCCATGAAGTGGAGGCGCAAGGAACAGAATTCTAAAATAACAAAGGTGAGGAACTTAGTGACCAGCAAGGCTTTATTCAGCAAGTACAGGGGCATCAGCTGCTGACAAAAAGTGAAGAGCTGGCTGTTTTAGTCAGTTGTCCATTGCGGGATATCTGAAGACTACTACTCATGAAAAGTGAAAACACACCTGTATATCTGAAGACAAGTTCAGTGATCTGAGAAAGATTTTAGTACCGAGTTGCCTTTCCAGCTTCGTCCAAATACTTGCAGTACAGCCCACACATGAACAAGCAATACATTGATGCATATGCTTGCTTTCAAGCAGAAGATTTGTCTCATCAAGTCTTCAGGGTTGGCAGACAGCTTGAACCAGGAGAAAAGAGAGTGTATAATGGAACCTTTCATTTAAATGCAAGCAAAGCAACCCATGCAATGTTAATAAAAAGATTTTGCTGCATTTTGTAAACCAAATTTAACACACTGTAATGTAAACATATCTATCAGAGCATAGACTGAGCGATGTCAATGTAATAACCAACAACTGCTATCAATTTACACCCTTTTGAATCAGCTGGAATGAAAATCTTGTAGTGTCGGGTCCCACCGTGTCCTTTTGTAACTTGGGTAAGCTGCAGCTGTGGCAATCCAGGGTCACTGTTGGCCAAACAGCAGGCTGTTTTTTGTTGAAGCATGTGGTAATAATGAGTGTGCCTGTACATACAGCATGTTTCAAATGTCCACTGACATTTACCTTTTTATATATTTTTGCATATATATGTATATATATATTACACATATATATATATATGTGTAAATTCGAGCAAAATGTTAAAATGAGGTGCTACAGAATAAGTAGAATTGCAGTAAAGCTCTTCTATCTTATTGACAGGTAAAAGATCAAATTTTAATCCCTTCAAACGATCTTATTTCTCTGCCAAAATTGAAATCAAGAATTAATATCTGAACATGGAGTTATCAAGGAAAATCCTCTTTCTTGTGACTGTACCAAGGTCAAAACAACACATCCCTTTCATCAGAAGTGACCTTCTGTACAAATCCTTCTCTGTGAGTATCTTCAGCCACTTACAGCACTGTATTCTGTACATGCACAGTGTAACTGATTTTATGTTTAGCTTGAAACAACCTTTGGAGTATGCCAGTGAGCTGCAGCCTTCTCAATGACTTTATTGCTTGGTGGAAAGCCTGGGTCATATCATAGAATCATAGAATGGTTTGGGTTGAAAAGGACCTCAAAGATCATCTAGTTTCAACCACCTGTCATGGGCAGGGTCGCCAACCACTAGATCAGGCTGCTCAGAGCCACATCCAGCCTGGCCTTGAAAGCCTCCAGGGATGGGGCATCCACAGTCTCCTTGGGCAGCCTGTTCCAGTGTGCCACCACCCTCATCATCATCATGAGCGATTTGTGGAGGCTACAAAATTAAAGGAATAGGTGGGACATGTTTAACCCTGGTGTGGGCTATGAGTGCAGTCGAATGTACTTCAGAGCTATGCATGAACCTCAGGAAGGAAAAGCTGCCTCGAGCAGAGGCTGCAGGGGTAGTACTTCCTTTCCTCCATCAGCACCGACCCGCTGCATTGGGGCTGAGAGGGGTGCTGGGGTCTGATTCCATAAGTCAGATTTTGCCCTTTTGTTATTAGCAGATCTGAGTGTGTTCCAGTGCTGTGTGATTCTTTCAATACAGAAAGCACTACATAAGAGTCAAGCTATATTCAGACCTCAAAAGATGTGCCGAAATGGCTGAAACCAACCTTTGGTGGAAAGTTCAGAGAAGAGAGAATATCAAAGGACCCTTATTTTTAACCAAGAATCCAGCAGTTTATGTCGATTTCCCAGCTCAGACAATGTGGCAGCCTGGTGAGTGCGAGGTATTTTCTATGGGCTCAGTTCCTGCTATTGTTTACAAGCCAAATGTGAGGTTAGATAGTAATAGGTCAGCCCTTCGTAGTCATGGCACAGGCATCTCTTAGCAGTGACATGCCTGTGTGTTAGGACAAAGAAATGTGTGAGGGCAGGAGACCTACAGTTTTCTTTCTTTCACATAAGCATTTTGACAAGACACGTTTAAGAAAAATCATAGAGTTTGCTGTTGATTTTTTTAAAATTACTATTACTATTTTAAAGGAACGCTTTTAACACTCATCACATTTGATTTTCCTAAGAGTTGAGTGTCTAAGTAGAGATAAGTAAATAATTCTCAGAAAATTCTGGGTTTATGGCAGAATCCAATGAAGTTCAGGGGGTGCTAACTTGGGAAAAAATAGCATCAGTGTCAGTTATTCATATTATCCTATTTCTGCAGTGTGAAGTGGTGACCCAAGCTGAATTGTTTCAAGGTGACTTTCAACAGATGTGTAACAAATGGTGTGTGTGTGCATTTGTACACTTGTGTATGCATGTTCATCTTTGTACATTCATGCACACATCTTTTCAGCTGGGTAGCAGCAGACTGCTCCAGATCTAAAGTAATGTTAGAAAGCTGGACATCAAATAGAGAATGAGGTCAGATTGAGACATGAGTTGAAGGAGGCTACAAAACAGTGGGAATTACAGATACAGTGGAAAGGCAGTTATGTTCTCTTTACATCACCTGAGGCTCCCTAACCATCCCTATACCTCAAATTTAAGAGCTTTTTGGAACAAGGCAGCAACATCTGTAAAACTGTTTCCAGCAACACCACAGCTGCAAATACAGTGTTACCAAGGATACAAGGATGCATGTTTATCCCTACTTAGGGTTGCTCAGCAGCAGAATTCAGGTGGATGAATTGGACATGAGGGTTTTGTTGTCAGTCTCTACTTTGTAGCCATGTGTCACTGTTAAGTGTTACTTGAAAAGTGATCATCAGCTACTAAAATGTTTTACACAAAGTTGGCAATTGTTCACTAACAGAGCAAGTGCCATTTGCCATTCTCTTTTAAAAATAAGTAACATTGATTGCTCTCATTGAAGACTAGAAAGTGGGTTTTTAGGATGCCACAGAGTTCACAGAATTGTAAACTGAGGTAAGATTACTGAGATGCCACACACTGTCCTGGTAAAGGCATAGTGAACACTGCTGTCTTACTGCTGATGGAACTTTTTGAAGTGGATTTACACAGGTTTGGTTCTGTATCAGAAATCACAAAGGCATTAAGCACCCATAAACAAAGCTGTAGCTTGTGCTACGTGTAAATTCTCTGGGCATACATCTGAATAACATGGTCACCAGCAGAACCTGAGCTTCTTTTGGGATTAAGGTTTTGGACGCCAACCTTCTAATCACAGGGATTCAGTTACTTTTCCCAATTAGATCAATGTAACAAGGCTGTGTAATGCAATAATAGCACCTCTTCTGACTGGAGGAATGTTAAATCTTGAGAAAGAAAAGCTTTGTTCATTTTAGCATTTTTGCTTTGTGTCTAATGCCTATGTGGAGTCTCACATGAAATTTTACATACACTAAAATTACACACTGACCACCTTTTTTTCAGAAGTATATTCTAGCTAAACAGACCACATCCTGAAACTAAATCTCCTTTCAGTGTTTTTGCTATTCAGTGTTCAGTGGTGCAAGTCCACTGAAGTCAGTCAAGAAATCCCAGTTTTATCAAGCTCAGAGTCTGCTCTGTGGAGACCACCGCTGCTGGTTAAATTCGTGCTGTGCCACCTGCAGCTGAAGTCTACACGTGCTTCGAATCCTTGGGGATAGGTGTCTGCAGGCAGCTTCCCCCGCTTCCTTCACGGCCACAGAAGCGCCTTTAAGCCACGCAGTGCTGTCACTCAGGCTGCCCGCAGTGTCACTTACCGGCATCACCACAGAGGGGGAGCAGCACACCGCAGGTTGGCCCGGGATACGTGCAGAGACGTGCTGCTGCGGGGTGGTGGTTCGCGTTTTAGGATCATGGGGGCTTCTTCACAGCAGAGAGGATCCCAGTGAATGCAGGGTGGCCCTGGGGAGCTACCTGCAATGGTCACTGACAAGCAGTTCCTTGAGCAACAAGGGCTCGATCATGAGCTGAAAACCACCAGAGTGGGGCCACCAACACCCCCGTCCACATCTTTGCCTTTTTAGGTAGTTCTTTGCTTCAGTACCAGTATGAAACTTTAACCTGCTCACCAGTGCTGCTGTGTTGAGTTGGCAAGTGGGGTGAATGGTGATAATAGAAAGTACCCTTTACACTCCCCTCATTTTATGTACATGCGCTTGCTGTTATTTATTATATCATGTCATGCTCAAATAAGGCTGCAGTACTCTGGGGTCTGTTTTTACTGTTTGGTTGCTTGGGCTACAGCAAGTGGCACCACAATATTGCAGCACTTCAGAGAGGAATGGGAAAGAGAATGTGTGTGGATGTATGATTATAGCAATGGTTGTGGTCAGAGAGGCCCACCAAGAATTAAAGATGTCTAGCAAATCCTCCTCCAAATTTATGGATCCAGCTTAACACTCAAATGCATGAATACAAATCCTGTAGCTTTATAGAGACATCTGCCTGTGTTCTGAAGGCTAATTTAACTTGACATATAGTACTTTTACCTGTTGCTCCTTTAATTAATAACTATATTCATGTTCCTTACAGCCTTGTCAGTTTTATTTCTAGTACATATTTATCACCTAAGTGTTGATAGTGCATTTCCTCAGTTTCTTTTTCTCCATGAAGTTAGCTATCAAACCAGACATAGCACACATTTTAATGCACCAGGCACCAGTGTCCCAGCCTGTTGCAAAGATGCTCTTGATTTTTCACATGATGCAAGTCTCTCCAAGAATGTTTGTCAGCTGGGATACACCATCCTCTCATTGAATGCAGTGAAACACAGCCCTGGTGGCTGGCATTGATCTGGCAGCTGTGGGCTACAAGGCAGGAAGAAGAGAAAAGCTGCCAAGCTTGTGGCCACTGGAACCTGCCCAGTGATAGCCAAAAGAGATGTCATTCTGTCTTTCTGGTTACATCTTTTCCTGTTCTGATGTTTGATCATCTCATTTGTGTTTGCTTATAGACTGAAAATGAGTAACATCTAACTAGCAAATGGGTATATCTTCCATGAACTGAGCAAAAAGCTCAATTTTTAATTTCCTGTTCTCCTATGGATGCACATTTAGTGCTTCAGGAATGCTGTTTGTTTCTCAGATCCTTTAAAATTTGCCTCAGAATATGGACTATGTTTACTTTTTTTTTTTTTTTCTTTTTCCTGAGTTATCTGTCATTGGCCATGAAATAGAGAGACCCTGATCTACAAAGGTCTAAATGGACTCCAGAGGAAAGAAGCAGTAGTGGCAGGGAAGCTTGTGCTCCCACGGTGTGGGACAGATGTGTTCAGCCTGATCCAGCCACTGCAAAAAAGGGATATATGGCTGATGTCACCCCAGTTATCATGTGCCTTCCCCACAGCAAGGGATAGTCAGACTTACTAGTACTTTTTTTCCATCTTTCAGTGGAGCACGTTGTCCCCAGAGGGCATTAAGTGAAGCCCATCTTTTAGGGCTTCCTCCAGCAAGCAATTGTTCTACGAATTTGCTTGCCTGCATCTTGACATTGCAAGAAGAACTCTTAACAAAATGCTGCTTCTGTATTATTAATATGTGCTGTATTCTCAGAAGAAAGCTCACAGGACTCTTGGAGGTGTCCAATTCAGTGTTTCCACCATTATAGCAATCCATTCCAAAACCTCAAACCTAGGTGTTGAGTTTATAAAGGAAGGATAACCAGACCTCAGGATAACCTGAGCTTGAAATCAACTCTTCCCCTACTATAACCTATTAGTAGTGAGTCCAGAAGAATTATTTTTTTTTTCCAGATAAGGATGTGTCTTTAACAAAAGAGGGCAGGGAATGTCTTTGTGGTCTAGCTACTGTGGCCAAAATGCTGCCTGTTATTATGACATTAGAGGAAGCATGCTGTCTGCAAAGAGGAAGCAGGGCAATGGGGGCTGTTCAGTTGCTTGAAGTGAAGCAGGTAAAAGCAGTTCTCAGCAACAGAAAGCTGCTTGGTTGTCCTCAGAGCTAGGCAGGAGATTTACTTAAGCACACAGTCATTATGTAACTGTCTGGCATGTTTGGTGCTGGTATAACCTGACTGTGACTGCTGAGTCCTCAGACTGATGGGATTACACAATGGTAGTTATAAACTAACCCTATACTGGATTATAACCTGACCTTATGATTGAAGTCATCAGCCCCTTCAAAGACATTTGTGAGCTTTTAGAAGTCTCAGTTGAATCAGTGGAAGATCCAGCTGCCTCTGTCTCTCTCCATGTTTCTTTTGAATCTCAGCCTATTGCAGAAGTAAAGGCTTCAGTGGAAAAAACAAGATTGACTTTACTGTAGGCTGAGAAGTAGGTCCTGGGCTACGAAGGTGCAGATCAGTTGATGGTGGGGAAAGACCTGGAATGACCTTGGTAAATTACTGTGATATCTTATAGGACAGACAATGAATGTTACAGGCCTGCTGTAAAAATATATTTGTGTCAGTCAAGCATGAGATCCATCCAGCATCCTGCTTTCAGTGCTGACCACAGATGGATGTCCAGGAAAAGCAAGAACAGGGCAAATATATATCACACCTTCATACAAGTGTTCCTCAAGCGTCTTTCTCGAGGCTTCCTGCATCTGAAGGGTTGGGTCTGTCTAGTGATTCTCAATAGATTCCTCTTCCAAGTGCCCACCCAGTCTCTCTTGAAGCTCATTTGATCTGCTCCATCCATAAATGTTGTTTGCAGAGCAGAGAGCTCCACACATCTTCCAAGATGCATAATGAACCATCTTCATCTGTTTTATTTCAGTCTAGCTGTTACTGGCTTCACTGGATAACTTCTAGCTCTTGTATTGGAAGAGAAAATAAACAGCAGATTCTTATTCAGTCCTTTCATCCCATTTAACATTTCTACCATGCTCACTTTGTGCCATCTGTCTTAAATGCTGGAGGTGGTCCATTACACTCCATCCATCAGATGTAGCATTGGGCATCCCATAAATATATTAAATGTTTCCTCAGACTAAGCTTCCAAAAAATGCACAGAAAAAGAAAGCACAGGGCAGCCTGTGAGATAGGTACAATGAAAGACTGAAGAAGTAATGTTCTGTAAACTCGATTCAGTTTATATATAAATAAGGAAGCAGACAAGTGGAGAAAGAAGTAGAGAAGTGGAAGAAACATTGTGATTGAGTAACAAAATATTGCATCATGACGCTTGCCTGCAGGCCTACTGAAATAAAATTACAGAGAGAGAATGAATGGTACACAGCTCCCGGGAGCCTCTGGCCCCTGCCTAGCCCCTTGAAGTCCTGACATGGCCAGTCAGCAAGGGCTGGGATAAATCATTGGCTCTGTCACATGATGTAGTGGAAACTCTGGGCTTATTGTTCCTTTCAATACACATTGCATCTTCTGTGACCCATGCTTGATATTTTCCCCCTAACTCAGCTAGACAGAAGGACAAAATCTTTTTCTCAGTTTCTTAAAGAGGATCAAATAGAAACAAAATGACTTAATGGAACTATCACCTCCCAGATCTCTCAAAAAGAAAAGAAGCTTTGGAGACATGGTAGGCAGAAGAAGCAATACATTTGCTGATATGGAAGCCAGATAATGAGAAATGACGGTTATTTTTCCCTCACTGACACAGTTTACTCCTGGCAATGTGAAAAACTCTTGTTTGTCATTTCTTTCCAAACAAGCGAGGGAAGAGAAATGAAGAGAGGAAATGCCCAGTTACTGCCTTCACAGAAAACTCTGAAAAGTGAAGAACGGTGAAGAGGGCTTAGCAAGCACCAGGGAGAAAGAGGAAGAGCCTCACTGTGATGCGGGGACTGGCAGACATGCTTCTCCACCAGAAAGATTGCACAGATGAGACTTTGAACATGAGAGACTGCCCAAACAGTAGCTTCAAGGACAGAAGTAATATGGGCCATCAGGTGGTAAAGCATATACAAATGTATAACTGCTGGAAATATAGTCTATGTGAGTTGCCATCTAATAAACATCTTTTTCTTTCCCTATTTGGTGCTTCATGCCACTTGTGTGCCTGAAATTTCAAGAACCTCCATGCTTTCTGATGGAGAAACTTCCTCCTAAAGATGGACATTTTGCCACAGAAACTTCACTGCTTCCCTCCTCTTCAGAAGAGCAAAATCAACTGCTTTGAGTGCTGGGTGCCCATAACACAAAGCACAGTGAAATCATTGTGCCACGCATCTCACCAGGTGCCTGAGGCCATACCAAAGGAAAGGCTTGGACAGCATGGGCTCCAATCCCCACAGCCTACAGGTGGGATGGGTGCTGCGCCACCAGCCCTCAGGGTTTCTGAACCTCTAAGAGGGTATGAAGAAAAGATGGAAGCAGCAAGCAGCACTGAGCTCTTCTGGAGCTGAAACAGGTCCAAAGCCCTGAACATCCCCTCCTTTTCTCATTCTCTCTCTGCTGCATAATGTTTGAGCATGTGAAACTTTGGGGAAATGAAATCATTTCTGGTTACAACTTGCTGCTTTTTCTGCACTGGATTTTTTTTTTAATCCTAAAGCCGAAACGAAGGCTGAAGGCTGCTCAGCACGCTCCCATCCCTCAGGACCCAACTTTCAGTTGTTTTTCTTTAATGGCATGGAGCTGTGCCAGGGAGCGTCAGGCTGGGTGATAGGAAAAGGCCCTCATCGGGTGGCATGGGCATGGAAGAGGCTGGAGTTCAAGGAGTTTGTGGACAATGCTGTGAGATAGAGGGTTTGAATTTTGGGTGGTACTGAAGGAGGGCTGTCCAGGCGCCGGATGCAGGGCTGCAGGCCTGGAGGCGGGGCAGAGGAACGTGGGGAGAGGGCTGAGAGGCGGCTACCTGCGCGGTGGCCACACAGTGACTGCCTAGGCGTTCATCACCCCGGAGATGCCCCGTGCACCAGGGATGAAGCCCTACGGCTCTCGGGACTCAGCAGCAGCACGGCTTTGGAGGAAAACCCCCAAGTGAAAACAAAGGCTCTGTAAGTCATTTCCTCTGTGCTGAACAGAAAGACATCTGTGCTGATGTAGCTATTACGCATAGGCACAGCAAAACAATACACTTGTTAGCAGCACAGACCCAGTTTGCTTTCCTCTGGACTCATTCTTTAAAGCATTTAGAGGCTTGTTTTAGCCGAACTTTTCCAGCTTTATCTCTTAACAAAGTTTTGCAGATAGTTTCTATAGATAAAGTTGTGATAATGGAAGGCAGTGAGGAAAAGGGCCTGGATGACAAGTCAGCAAGAAGTCATTGCAGCCGTGGCTGGTGCCCAAAGCTTTGGGGTGGCTACGTGCAACCACAACATCCGGCCTGGGTGCTCTGCCACGGGCATCATGCAGGACACACTGTGGAGCGGATACCAACAGGACCAAAGCACACCGTCAGTTTTCAAGACGCGCGCCGAAAACCGGGATGGGACCTGGCAGCCTCTCTTCACAATTCACCACCTCCTCCTCGCTTGGTTTGTTTCCCCACGAAGCGCGCACGCCACCGAGACGCCTCCGCGCTCCCCGCACCTGCGGCAGCGCCTAGCGCCTCTGCGCCTCCCCGCCGCCCTCACTACACTCCGCCCCACCCCGCCCCCCGAAGCGGAGCCGTGCCTCCCGCCTTACCCCTACTACCGCCTCACGGCCCCTTCCGCGGCGGCGTTCGGGAGCCGCAGGTAAGGCACAGGCGGGGAGCGCGGTGATAAAATACAGCAAGAGAAAGCTCAAACTTTTGCTGAGTTGCTAGTGGGAGCGGGGAGGGATTTGAGCGCAGGTGGTTGCTGCCCGGCAGCTCGGAAGCTGCTGGCCGATGCCATGCGGCAGCTGCAGCTCAGTGCACGGCTTCGAGCGAGCAGCAGGAGTGGCGGCGAGAAATGAAGCGCTGAGCGGTAAACGCTTGGAACTACCGGCAGTAGCGACCGGAGGTCGACCGGACAGTTCGCGTGATAGAAAGTGCGGTAGTGCGGTTCCCATCTACAGCCGAGTGTTGCTCGGTGTTTCCTTGTTTACGTGATGGAGTTTCTCTATGTAGCCGTGTAACTGCTCTGCCTCAGTAAGGCTCCGCGTCTCGGGCCGGGATCAGCTCAGTGTGGGTTTTCAGTACGGCTCCGTGTGCCTTCTGTGCCCTGCGCTGCCGTCCCTCTCGTGGAAGAGCTCCTACAACTGTTGCTCAGCTGCTGCGTGGGGCAGCTAACGCGGTGGCTGCTGTGCGAGCTCCTGCTGTGTTCCTATAAGCTGGAATCGGTCATTAGTGACACACTGAGCTTTTCTGCTGGATTTGGCTACAGACTGCTGATCTGAAGTGTCCAGTATTATTTCATCAAGAGTGCACCTCTTACAGAGATTAAAATAAATAAATAAATAATCAGCGGTAGCAGAAGTGCCCATGTAAATGTGTCTTGGGAGTACTACTTGACTGCTTGTTTTCAGTGCAGACTACATGCTGCTACAGGTGCTCAGATTGACTTTGGTAGAGCGTGGCTCTGGGTGAGGCATCACTTCTTAATTCCTCTCCTAACTCTCCAGTGACTGAAGGATTAATTGTTACATATGGTTGGTATAGAAGTATTTCATAGAAGCATTAAGGCTGGAAAGGACCACTAAGATCACCAGGTCTATCATCTCATCCCCACCATGCCTACTAACCATGTCTGTGTGTGCCACATTGACATGTTTCTTGAACACCTCCTGGGATGGTGACTCCACCACCTCCCTGGGCAGCCCGTTCCAATGCCTCACCGCTCTTTCTGAGAATGTTTCTAACATCCAACCTGAACTTCCCCCGGTGCAACTTAAGACCATTACCTCTCATTCTCTCACTGTTACCTGGGAGAAGAAGCTGACCCCCACTTCACCTCAACCTCCTTTCATGTCTTTGTAGAGAGCAACAAGGTCTCTCCTGTGCCTCCTCTTCTCTAGACTAAACAATCCTGAATTGAGATCATGAATTGAGATCAGACATGTTTAGGCTGTTTTGGGGTGGCAGAGTGCAGAGCCCGTACAGGCAGACTCCCAGTTACCTGTGCCCTCTGCTCCATTCCCACTCTGGTCTCTTCATGGCCTTCATGCTATCTCCCTCAAGTCCTTCCCTGTGGTCCAAAAGGTCTCTTGGGACACTGGAAGGCACTTGTTTGTTTTCTAGGGAGAAGGCAGTGTCCATGCAGGGTGCAATGGAAGGCTGGGAAGGGACTGGTATATGGGGTAGGGGTGGTGGGGAGCTGGTGTGCTGTCTCTTGCTATGTGGGGTCGTGGTGGTGTTCAGTGTCCACTGGCCTGCTATAAGATCTCAGATGGTTACGATCTGTAGGGGGCTAGAGCAGGAAAGCCCATTTGTTGTCACTCTCCTCTGACAGTCTTCATACATCTCAGGTTTATTTATTGTATTTATTTCTAACCAACTTTTTTTTTTTTTTTTTTTTTTTAACATCAAAGCTTGAGGTGAAATAACCCATCTCTACTTCTATTGCTAAATAAAAGGGTGTTTTACATGCCCTGCTAAATTTCAGAAAGAAGCCCGTGGGTGAACCAAAAAGATCTCTGAGTTTGCCTGCCAAAACCACTGAAAACAGAATCAGTGTGGTTATATTGGCCACCTGGGTACTCCCTCTTCTTTTTCCTCTCTCTTTTTTTTAATGTGATCATCTCACAGGTGTGAGAATCAAATCCAAACATGTGGCATTTAGAGATGGCAGACACTGCCAGTTGAGCTGCCTTTTAACCCAAGTTCTCATTTGCCAGAGCTGATTTTATTATCAATTCAAAACTTATAGAAGGAGCACCTTTCTTTTCTTTTTTCCTTTTAGATATTATTTTCGAGTTTGATCTTCTAAAGGCATAGATTGTGAAGCAGCTAGAATTATGTCCTGAGTTATGCTGCATTTCAGCTCCCAGCTGTGTGCTTAGCCCTGTGAATCAACTCTGTGCTGTATCCAATAGCCTGGCTGGCTGCCTGCAATGGCTGCAAATGGAGAAAAATGAAATACAGCTGACATTGTTTTACTGGCTTTATTTCATTTTATCTTGCCCTGAAACAACATTGTATTCAGGAGTGCCGTGATGGTGCAGTATCCTGTAATTAAGATTACAATAGCTGGGAAGTGGTTAATTTCACAGAACTGGTTGGAAGCACCAGGAAAAGTTTCCCCCTGCGCCAGCCATAGACGTAACCTGCCGTAGATTAGTTCCTTCTGTATTGTGTTAGCTAGTAAACTGAGTACACAAGATAAGGCAAAGAATGGTGTGCTTCTTATACAAATGTTTATATCTCAGATATGCAAAATATTTTCTGTTTATCAGATAATGGAATTCTGTGCTTCCTACTGTCAACGCAGATGTCATGGAAAATGCCTTTAGCCTTTGTTAACCATTGACCTCTAAGATGTTTTGCTACTTCTGTATGTTTTGACTTTTTTCGGTACCCGGTTATGTTTTCACTGCTGCAGTTCGAATTGTGCTTTAAAAAAGAGACAAGCTTGTGAGTGCCAAAAAGTGAGTTGCTGTGGTCTGTAGTGGGCCTCCTGCAGCAATAGGATACAAAAATGCCAGTATAAAACTCAGAAGGTATGAGAAGCAGTACTTGGGTGAACAGGGCTATAGTTTGGCATGGAGAAGAAGGCTTGAGGGTGTCTTCTTTCTTTTTTTCTTTTCCTTCCTGTATTTCAAAAAGCATGCATGCTTCTGAAGGACATCTAACATACAGCAAAGAAGGCAGTGTGTAGATGAGGGCGGCACGTGTCTGGGTGGACACATGTGCCCTTTCTATCACAAATGGTAGAAGAGGAACTGGGGTGCAGAGCTGTGTAATGGAGCACTGCCCCGTGGCTATGATGGCTCTGGTAGCTCTCAGTCATCCCCTGCCTCAGCGCTGTGATTCAGAGTCAGGATGCAGAAATGAGAAAAATACCACGAGGCAGAAGCTGGAAAAATAAATAGTCTTCTTCTAGAAATCTGTGGTGAAGGGCCTTGTCATAAGGGATGCTCTGAGAGGGGTAGATGGTAGGATTTCACAATTTCTCGTGTGTGGAGGCATGATAGGTCACTGCCTTGCAAGCACCATAAAGGGCATGCAGTGTTCAAACGGGAGTACAAAACTTGGAGGAGTAATGGAAACCTGCTGGGGAAAAAAAATAAACCCCAGTGTGCTGGGAATGCATGGAGCATGGGCCAAGTGTTTTCTTAGTGGTCCTGCTTTCCCTTATTCACTTTTCTCTTACAGGCAACTGTATGAATGGGTGCTGCTCTGCTATGTGTGAGGTACAACTGCATGGTACTCAAGTAGGTCACAGTAGGGTTTCCTGTCAGGAGGTTTTGCTCAACCCTGTGCCTTTTATGAGCTGTGATCTGATGAAATCATAAGAACACCTTAGATGTAGGCCTTGTTTGCACTTGAATAGGACAGAAAAAGATGGTGCAGTGTTCATCCTTTTGCAGCACGATGTGGGCAGGGCACTGGCAGCCAGCATGGCCCCTTGAATCACAATGCAAAAGAAATCATTTTTCCCTGGTGAAGCAACCACATAATTCAGTATTAGATAGAAATGGTAATTGCCCCTTGCTTGTAGCTGAATGCAGTACTTGCAACTCTCTCCCTGCGCAGAGATCTTTTTGTCATCTTCTCTGCACTAGTCTAAAGTGTGAAATGACAAGAGCACTTAGAATTCTTGGTGTAAGGCAGCTAAACTCCACCAGACCACTTTCACTTCCTCTCCTCAGCGAAAGGAGAGAAAATGCATGGAATAGAGGTCAGGGGTTGAGAGAAGGACAAAGGAGATGACTACCAATTGCTACCATGCACAGACCCAACTCAGTGTAGAGAGATGAACAGATGATGGCTGCTCCAAATGCAATGACTCCTATTTTATTTTGTTAGCCCAAGACGCCAGAGGCAGATGGTGGTGGTATGGCAGTAGAAGTTGAACTTTTCCACAGGTCTCTTAAAACTTGTAGTCTTAAATACACCTTGGGATCTTTTGAAAGCAAAATGGCTATCCAGACTCTATCCAGTAAAGATGATTAAAGGAACATTTTCAAGCGTGGCAGAATGTAGCACTCAGTGTTAAAACTGATTGGTTTACAGACTTCCACTGCAACTTCTCTTCAATCTGCTTATGCATAATGTGTCAGAGGGTAGTGTTCAGTTATGTGGTCACGTGCTGTGGCTCATTTAAAAACAAAATAATGGGCAAGTGGCATGATTCCTCAACTTCCTTCAGTTATTTCTCTAGATCTCTTGAACTGAAACCAACCTGGAAGTCAGTGAGAAGCAGGCAATCCCTGTGAAAACTTAAGATCTAGCTGTAAAATGACTATCTTATCCTACTTTTACAGTCTCTTGTGTTTATCCCATTTAATCTGGACATCAGTGACTCTGGGTGGTGGAAGTGTTGCTTCTAGTGTTGCCTATTCCATGGTATTTTTATGCCTTACCATTAGTGATCAGAGTGGATTAAATGGCATATGATGTTATCACACATTAATGATGGTATCATACAGTATCTCAAAGGGAGTTTAAGTCGAATACAGGTGCTTTAGATCTTAAATGTCTTGTGATGCCTGATGAGTGCTCTTGTCCCTCTTTAGCTCACAACAGCTGAAACATCCTGACATCCAAGAATTTTCATCGAGGGGAGTGGGGTAATGAGCCTCTATGCTAGAGATGCTGACTGCCTCACAGGATTGAGAGCCTGAAAGAAAAGGAATGCACAAGATGACAGCACTACCTCCAGTTGTGTTGATTTTCAGGTATGGTGAGAAATTATTTCCTTGAGATAATACTTAAAATTTAACAGTGGTGAGACTACAGTCCTTTAGTATTCCTTGCTTCTTGGACTGTGTTGTATGTGAAGGAATTCTTCAAGGTTGCATCCTGAGTTTTCAGGCCTGTATTTAGAGACTTTATTAGTAAAAGGCTGAAATGCAAGTGAAAGTTTCTCTGTTTTAAAAAATCTACAAATAAGGTCAGGATAGAACTCTGTTGGATCTGCCTCCAGAACTTCAGGAAAATAGGTCTCACTCTTCCAATTATCCATTCAGAAAGTACCCAGCAGTGTGGATTCTATGTAGAGAGAATATTTTTATTTGCATGTTTTGTTTTGTTTTGTTTTTTAAATTTTCAATCCTTATCGTGTCATAGATTGTTCAAGTACAGAGCAAAGCAGAAACTGAAAGGCTTTGCTAAATTTTGAAAGAAAATGAAAGCTGCTGTAAATAAATGCAGTCCTTCAAGTCATTTGCCACCTAAGCATGCACAAAGCATGACGCTGTACAATTCTCTCTGGTAGCATGACTGTTATGATTTTGAGTGCAAATCAAATGGAAATTCAAGCACAATATGACGGATTATTAATGAAATGAGACATGAGGGTGTGGTGTGATGGTGAGGGAGTTTTGAGTTGAGTTTCATCTGAGGTTCGCTATATGAAGTTTTTCTTGTAACCCATCCGACGGATCAGGGTCAGAAAGGAATCAGAAGGATTCAGGAAGATAAGAATCAGAAGATAAGAATGTAGACCTTACCAACATCTCTGTTTTGGTAAGCACAGCAAATATCACACGGTTTGGGAAGCTGTGAATTGCCAGATGTGGGAAAAGCAGTACAGCATCTCAGCTGAAGTGAAAATGATCATTGATTTGCAATCCCATCTCCTCCATTTGCTTGATGATGTATCCTGATGAAAACAATGCATGGGAAACTTGACACACAGGAACTTGCAGGCTTGCAGTATTTCCTGCCCCCTGCTTGTTGGCTTGTATTTTTCTTGTGCACAGATGATGATTTTGATGAATAACTCTAGATATATCAGCACTGCCTGTATGAGAGAAGGTTTGGGGCAAGTCAGCTATTAAATAGGTGTAAAAAAAACCTAACAGTTGCCAAGTTGCATCACTGTGCTGCCTCAAGAAGATAATCAAGAATTTCAGGGAAGAAGTAGGCTTTTGTTGAGGTCAATTCATCATCTAGTTAATTTCACAATTTTGTTTTCTGCTGAAATTCCCATTACCCATGAACTATTTCTTACCATTTTAGCTTCCTCACCCCATCGTAGGTTCTTGTTTCTGTCTCTAAAACCAATTATTAACACAAGTGTGTATTTTTCATATTAGTTGCCTTATTAACAAATGTGTTGAAAGATAGTGTACTTTCTGGTATATTTTGTTGGAAATAAACAGTTGTCATAATGAGAAATGTATGTTATGTAAATTTCTATAATTAATAACTAACATCTTGTCACATAGCATGTGGTTACCTTGATTATGTACTTTTTCACGTTTTGTTTTGTTAAAATGCTGGTGTATGAACACTGGAACCAGTCCTGGTGCATATAGGGCCTGCCACAGCTGCACTTAGTCTCTGACAGTCTTTGATTCATTTTTGATAAGCAAACTGTGCAGTGAATGCATTAGTTTCAGCATTGGCATCTCACTGTGAAGGTGCTCTTCATAGACCATCTGCCAAAAGCATCTAAAGGGTAATTAAAAATAGGATGTGATTTTATTAAACTGCTTTTATTTTTAGAGGGAGAATGGTCATTTTGTGCCGCAGTAGAGCTGCTAACAGCTACTATTACTGAGAGGACATGAACTTGGCTCATATTTAACCTACGTGTATTACTTAGGAGGGTGGATATCTGATAAAAGATTTAAAAATGATCATGATTTTTAGCAATATGGAGAGTAGTTTGCGTTCTTCCACAACCCAGAGAAAAGGAACACCACACCCCTGGAGCTGGTTCAAGGCTTCCTCATCTTGTTCTGGGAAAATTTGCTTTAAAATGAAAGAAAACAATACAGCAGCCATCATTCCTCCCTAACTCAGCTCCTACCCAGAGGTAGCAGTCTTTTCTGCTAGCTGCATGCTCAAGATTTCCCCCAAATTCCTGGTGAACCAAGTACACATTCGCAGTTCTTCCTGACCTCAAAACTTCCTTGTAACTCTTCCCAACCTACACTCACTTCCATGGTCATGTGTCCTTTGCTGGGAGGTAACCAGTTCAGTGCAGATGGGTCTGGATTAAATTTCCCATAAACTGTCCCTTTGCAACGAGGCTCACGCATGTTTGTGTGGCTGTCACTCTGTAGGTGCTGAAGCGCTCCGCCGGCTGTTTTGTTGCAGGTGCTAACAGTTATCATCCATTTTGGGAAGTGATATAGTTTCCGTATAACTGCATGGGGGAAAGAAAGTATATCGAGGAGCACTGCAGAAGTCATAAATGTCGTTTGGATTCTGATGAGACACTTTCATCACAGACTGAGGAAAATGTGATGTTTGAAACGATAGAAATAATCTTAGTAGACGCACATACAGGCCTGCTGTCAATTTGGGAAGTAGTAGTTTTCCCAGTAGTGTGGAAGAAGAAAGTTCCTTTACATTTCTTATGAATAAAACAAGTACTGAAAGAGGCTGGCAGGTTGCTAGGTGAATAGGTTGCTTCCTTAGCAATAAAACAGCAAGTAGGAGTTGGTGTTTGCAGTGCATTTTAAAAACAAATGCTGTTATGATTCAGTGGAAGATCATCCCGAATTTTAAGGAACATCTCCGAATAACTCATTAATTGTACTGCTGGCATGCAATCGTACTGAACACTGTAAAAGTGAATTATAAACATTTTTACTTCTGTCAGTTCATTATACCTGGGTCTAGTGTGACTGCAAGCTTTGGTGACTTAAAGCTGGCCTTTGAAAGTGGAAGCAGACACAGGTTATCAAATCCAATTACATGGGATGTACCTATTGACTGCTTCTGTGTACTGTTCTTGAGATATGAAGATGTGTTTTTAATTCATAAACCCTTTGTCAAATGTGCAGTCAATACAGTTCATGACATAGTTTGACAACTATATATCAACTGAGAAATGAGTGACTCAGGATGCTCATGCTTGGACTCATCTGTGTCTTTTCAGCAGAGTGCAAGTCAGAGAAGCTAGTGACAAGCTGGCTGGGATCAGAAGCAAGTGTAGCATAATTCACACCTGAGAGAACAATTCCAGAGTAGTGCAAATGAATGGTAGCATTGGTACTGCTTTTTCTGCAGCCAGCATCCCAGCCAGGGTTTCTGTTGCTTCAGCTATGCTACACAGACATACCAGTGACACTTTGCCATGATCCATGATGGCTCTTTGATGCAGAGGACAGCTGCTTAGAAGTATTCCAGGTTTGCTGGCAAAGCCTGTGCAAGGTAGAACTCCTTCAGCTGCTGACTGAGTTTCCAAGATGGTTTAAAACAACACAGATAATGACCCAGAAAACTGGGAGCTGTTTTTTTTGTATGTTGAAATACTGTAGTCTGATATTGTTCCTAGCTATGGAATTAATAGTTTAAGGGCCAGAGGAGGGATGGTGCCAGATGATTAATGTGTGTCTCATGTATCAGTTCAGTGGTGCAAAACAGGACTGTAATTGTGTTGAACTTAATGCAAACTTGTATTGGTGTCAGTCACATGGTATGTACACTGGGTAAGCAGAGAGAATTTACTTTGTAGTCAGAGAAATGGTAGTTTAGTTCATTACTGTATTGGTGTAGTGGAAATGCTAACTCAGGGCTTGAAACAGTGATTGAGCACCTGGTAGGAAGGCAGGGCCAACACAAGGAGCGCAGGTGCACACAATATACCTGAGTGACCAGAAGAGGTGCAGCCAGGATCCACCCCTTCCCAGACCTCATTTAAGGGTTGGCAGTGGAAGCAAGGGTAGATCCCTGCCTAATGGAAACCTCCTGAGGGTAAGCAGGTTCTTTACGCTGTGTCCATGGCTGCCGTGTTGAGCATATGTTCACTATCTGCAGCCTAGGATTTTTGCTATCATTACAGTGCTTTCCATCTTATTGTAGCATTATGGTTGGAAAGAAAAGTTACTTTAGAAATATTAGACATTCATTGTAGAGAAAACAAGGCACCATTTGTATGAGTTATTGTATTTTAGTTAGAACATGTCAAATGAGTGTCTTGACCACTAAAATAAATTGAGGTATTTGTGCTATAATATGCCAACTGCTCACCTGAGATTGTGTGATGTTAGGAAAATCAAATTCAAATTATGAGGGAGTTGAATTAATATTTCTCCTTTAGTGAAACTAAAAAGGTCAGAACTGCCTGAGGCACTGTTGATGTCAGTCTTGTTTGTTTGCTTTTCCCAGTTTTGTGTATAGTTGCAATTCACCTGCTACTTAATGGTGAGCTTTAGAGTCTGTGAACAGAAGAATTAAGTTAAACTTCTGAGCAGAACGTTTAGTTTTTAATCCCTCTTAATCTCCAGCTTCCTGTAAAAGGAAGAAAAGCTTTTCCACCAGCATCACCCATTTCCATTGCCAATCTCACCTCTGCCTGTGTTTTAATAAGTGGGTGTTGCTGTTCCTCCTCCCTCCTTATCAGGAGGGGTGTTTAGGGGGAGGGCTGAGGCAGTGATTCTACTTTGCCAAATGTCTACTCAGCTCTGTGGAGCCATTGAGAACACTGTAGGGGACACAGCTGTGTACAAGTGAAATTAATGCTCTGCTCTCTCTCAGCTTCATCTCTGCTAAGCCAATGCCATGCAGGTTTGGGGGTAGTTCTTCCATTTTCTTCTTTAACTTGCTCTGCAGATGCTTGCCAGAATGAAGAGGACTGTTTCTTTTACATAAAAACATACGAGCTATACTATACATAAAAACATACAAGCAGGGCCAGGATATCACCTAGCTCCTATCAGTTCCAACCCTGACTTGACCCTTTTGTTCATGTGTTCCCACTTCCAGTTACATTTGCACA